ATAAAAGTAGAGGTTACGTTTAGTGTACTGCTTGTCACAATGATTACCAGCTGTAGATTTAGGTAGATCTTATTTGCGCCACTTTTACAATTTGCCCTGCCATTGGTTGTTAGGATGCTGTCAACTGCATAGCTACATTGGTTGCTAGGATACAGGCCACCAGCATCCTAGAAACCAACTATGCAGAACTGAACACTGACAGTGGGTGGAGTCTGATGGGAATGTGGAGACTCATTCCCCCATTAAGTCCTCCTTCCTTGTGACTGACAGCAGTGGGTAGATTCCACCGGCACTAGCTATATAAACCTTTTTTGCACTGGTACCATGTCCCAGATGGGAGTGCCCAGCTACCCTTGCCTTTCGTGGTAACAAACACTTGCAAAAACCTTTTAAGAAGGTCAGAAAAAATAATTTCTCCTAGACTTTATGAGTCACCTCATAGTTCTAGCCGACCTGTGACAATGAGACTGTCACAGGTCGGCTCAGTAGATCGGGAGGTGAGCGAACACATACCGGCGTTCGCTCACCTCTCGATCCTGTCACGAAATCACTCATCTCATAGTTCTCCTTTAACAGGATTCAGTACTATGTTCAGGGTTTGTGGACCTTCCACTGGGTTTGCCAAAGCTCCTGTGAACTGAACTTTTCCCGTCCCACTTATCTCTACTTACAACCATTCAGGAAGGTTGTTTGATTGCCTATATTACTGTTGTCGATCTAGTCAAAACTAATTTTGTAGTAAATTAATTACCACCTTATCTTCTTGAGATATATATATTTTGTACTATTCATGTGGGTTTCACTCTAAGACGTAGGTGCAGGGCTGTGGGAATGGCGAGGCAGGCGCAGCTGTGAGGGGGCGGAGCCAGGGCCAGCCTGTCTGCACCCTCTCGCCCCTGTTGCCACAGCGAGAGGGTGCAGACAGGCTGCCCTCATTTTTACAGAAGGACAGCATGGCCACCTAATATAGGGATGTTCTGAGCTGTATTAGTCACCAATACAGGATTCAATGAAGGAATGGTGATAGTGTGTTTATAACCAGTGACTCCAGCTTATGACAATTGGAATATAAGGATGTTGAATCCGTTACAGCTTTTGTCATAGATTGCATAGGACACAGAACAGCACTGGATTTTGGGCAGGATCCACCATTTTTTTTGTTTGCACTTTTGAAAACACATACCAAAACGTTTTCAGTGGTATATGTAACAGACTACAATGCAGCAATTAGACGTTAATGATGGGATTTACATAAACTTCCACAATGACACCTGTCAGAAGCTGAATATCTACGTGGATCTTGCAACTGCATAAACTCTTTAATGCGTACGCTGCCTGGTAATGCAGCTTTTTGCTGGTCACAGAATAAAGTGTAATTAAACCCTTGTGGTTTATTTGCATGTATCTACTGCTAGCAAGCAGTAGATACATGCAAAAAAAAAAGTCACCAAAAAGGTTAAAAACGTATCTTAACTCTGCTGCGCGCGCGCGCTCGTCCGAAGATTCTTGGGTGGCTGCAAAGGATCATGGCATGGGCGCACGCGCAGCAGAGCTCTTCGGCCAGAGGAAAAGGAGAGACACAGGATAAATCTATACAGGCAGCCCGGCAGCATGCACCTGCACAGACTCCGTGGGACACAGAAGACACAGCAATCAGCACTGGATCAGAGACCGGCCCCCGCGCTGGAGGGACTCCTGAAAACTACTAGAAGGAAGTTGATCGGATCAAGAGGCATCATTTAAGATGAGTACTTACAGGGGTACAGGTACTCCTAGAATGAGATCCTAATAGGTTGGACTTGATGGACTAATGTCTTTATTCAACCTCAAATACTATGTATATACCTTGTTTCCCCGAAAATAAGACACTGTCTTATATTATTTTTTGCTCAAAAAAACACACTAGGTCTTATTTTAGGAGTAGGTCTTATTTGTTTTAATGTACAACAATCCACAATTATTCATGTAGAAAAGTCTATATGTATTCATGTACAAACATATGGTGATCAGGGCAATCAGGGGTGCCGTACCTTTCCAAGAGCAATTTGGTAACCAATCGCTGGCCAGAATGAGCGAAGCGCTCTTTCACTATCGATTCCTCACAGGCGGAGTGCATTTGATATCACTCCGCCTGTTACAGGAGCCGGCGCTTCAGAAGAAGCATCGACTTGTGCTCTGCTCCCTCCGGTGCCGCCTCGCTTCCTCTAGCGCTGGCTTGGTTGGCACCGATGATTCTCTCCGGCGGCTCTTCAAGTTCCCCCTTATGCCACCACCTGCCCTGGGAATGGTCACAACTAGGTCTTATTTTCGGGGTAGGTCTTATATTTTAGCAATTCCCAAAAATAGTACTAGGTCTTATTTTCGGGGTAGGTCTTATTTTCGGGGAAACAGGGTATTATGTATCTTACACCAGCATAGGGTGAGGGGGGATTTAGACTTTAAAGGAGAACTATGGGGTCAGTGTTTTCCCCATAGTTCTCCTAAGGGTAACGGGAGGACACAAACTAGTGGCCTCCCGTCACCCTAAGCGCAATCTAGAGGCAGAGCCAGCTGTGCCCGCCCCCTTCCGCCAGTCAGCGCTGGATGATCAGACAGGTGAGGGGGGAATCCCTGCAGGGAGCCATGAGTGACAGTCACGGCTCTCTGCAGGGATATATCGAGAAGTGAGCGAGCGACGCTATGTGTTTCTCTCACTTCCCAAACTATTGAGCTGACCTGTGACAGTTTCATTGTCACTGGTCGGCTAGAACTATGAGGCTGAGTGATTTTCACTCGCTTCATAGTTCTCATTTAATGTCACTTTAAGGTTTCACCTGCAGGTGGCATTCACATGTACAGGCTCTAGAAGTGTTTAGCTTTCACCACGGCCATTGATGTTTCAGTTCCCTGCCTTCTGACACTGGGGCATGACAAAAGAAGAGCACCAAGCCAACAAGATAGACCAAAGTTCAAAGCGGGGTTTTGACAAGCATGGTTGAGGATCAAGCAGAAGATCTGGACAGACAGAAGAAATCTGAATGTATCAATTTATTACAGTTTATCTAAATGATAGAACAGTAGGGATCAAGGAATAAGCTCAAAGCCAGGATCAAACATCAAGCGCAAAATCAGGAACAGATACCATGGTAAAGCCAAGTGACCAATGCAGACATCCAAGATACACAGGAATGCGGAATTGACAGATTCAATTTTGTGCTGAATGATGCAAGGTGGAGCCATGGATCATTCAGCAGAGATGAGCAGATGGTGTGACCATGATGAGGTATAATGACCTTCAAACTGGGTGGAGAAAATAGGGAAGTCGTACTCAACAAAGTGCCATTGTCAATCCTAAAATTCACAAACGGTAAGATTTAGGAGTCTTATGTGCGGTGGGCTCACCCGCTGCTGTCAGAATACAATAGCGCACTAAGAGATTCTTCCATCTATGCCGTTTACTGAGGTAGAGGAATTTATGGGGGTTTCTTCGCTCAGCCCGCTAGTTGAACAAAAAAAAAATCATAACAGTGTATGGTCAGCTCTAGTCTGGTTTTATTTGACCTGAAACCCTCAACTCACCTCATATTCCAAGACTCATATAGTAAAGATGATATATTCTTACAAAGTGGTTACACTGATGTATAGGGAAAAATCAGACCCCACACACGCCTATACTAAGAGGTCCAGGGGGCCAATAAAACACATTAGATCTACATCATCTTTGGCCTCTAATGAAACGTAATCCTTCTGTTCAATAATAAGCTGCTTATCGGACTGTGAAAACCTAGTCAGATGGAAATAGAGATGGATGGAGTCAGAACTCAGTGTTTGTCCTTCCCACTCCTCTTCCTGGAATCTCCATCACAGTAACAGGCAGAAGCAATCAACCTACCAAGCTTAGGGGAGGCCTATGGAGCATAGATAAAGGTAAATAACACATCAGGCTGGATCACACATTACATCTAGTCAGGGACACAGCAGCACAGGGCAGGGTCCCTACACTTACTTACAGTCTTTCTCTTTTCAATAAATACATTCTTTGTTTACTCTGAACTTCCTGACTACTAATGAGTCACATTTCTAGCATGTCCACTCCCCTTCTTACTCACTGTGCTGGCCCAGCTCCAGTGCCCCTCCCCTCACTACAAAACCTTTACTGTAGCAGGAAGGGGAATACTATAGTGTCATCATGTGAGTGACGGCTCTGAGTCTGCTGATATCACATCCAAGATAGCGGATCCCATAAGCAGACTCCAGGCTTTTGGAGGACTTTACATGTAAAACGAGGCCAAAATATATTTAACCCTTTCAGAGCAAAAGAAAAAAAAAACTGCATGCACCCGGCCAACACATTAACCATTATGGCGGCTGCATACCCTTCATCTAGAGACTCAGGATCGCTTCAGCAACCATGCCCTCTAGGTACATCTGCCTACTTTTCCAGTGCTGCCTGTGCATCTCCCTGTGCTGTCCGGACATTCCTCCCTACATTTTGTGTGCAGTTGTACATCTTCCTGCGCTGTCAGTACATGTCCCCTGTGCTGTCTGTCCCTCTCTCTCCTCGGCTGTCTGTCCCTCTCTCTTCTCTCCCTCTGTTGTCTGTCCCTCTCTCTCTGCTGTCTATCCCTCTCTCTTCTCTGTACCGTCTGCCCCTCTCTCTTCTCTGTACCGTCTGCCCCTCTCTCTTCTCTGTACCGTCTGCCACTCTCTCTTCTCTCCCTCTGTTGTCTGTCCCTCTCTCTCTGCTGTATGTCCCTCTTTCTCCTCGGCTGTCTGTCCCTCTCTCTTCTCTCCCTCTGTTGTCTGTCCCTCTCTCTCTGCTGTATGTCCCTCTTCCTCTCCTATGTGCTGTCTGTCCCTCTCTCCTTTGCTGTCTCTCGCTCTCCTCTGTGCTTTCTGTCCTCCTCCCCCTGTACACATACAATCAGCCTGTTCGCCGGTATTGTAGTGGGAGTGGAGGAGGACACACCAGGCTGCCCCGGGCTCTCTCCTCCCCCTGACATGAGAGGAGAGGGGTTTTACTTCCTGTGTAGCTGGAGGAGGATCTCCCATACAGTCATACACAGTCTGATCATCACAACTTTCACACACACCGACGCTGTGTAAACTTCACTCCTTCTACGTTCTGGACGGGTGAGTGTGAGAGATCGGAGGAGATAGAAGAGAAATGTACAACCTGCAGAGTTGCTGGGTGTGATCTGTGACTCTTCCTGTATGGGGGGAGAGGGTGATGGTGGCAGGAAGTTATTGTTGTATGGGGGGGGAGAGGGTGATGGTGGCAGGAAGTTATTGTTGTATGGGGGGGGAGAGGGTGATGGTGGCAGGAAGTTATTGTTGTATGGGGGGGGAGAGGGTGATGGTGGCAGGAAGTTATTGTTGTATGGGGGGGGAGAGGGTGATGGTGGCAGGAAGTTATTGTTGTATGGGGGGGGAGAGGGTGATGGTGGCAGGAAGTTATTGTTGTATGGGGGGGGAGAGGGTGATGGTGGCAGGAAGTTATTGTTGTATGGGGGGGGAGAGGGTGATGGTGGCAGGAAGTTATTGTTGTATGGGGGGGGAGAGGGTGATGGTGGCAGGAAGTTATTGTTGTATGGGGGGGGAGAGGGTGATGGTGGCAGGAAGTTATTGTTGTATGGGGGGGGAGAGGGTGATGGTGGCAGGAAGTTATTGTTGTATGGGGGGGGAGAGGGTGATGGTGGCAGGAAGTTATTGTTGTATGGGGGGGGAGAGGGTGATGGTGGCAGGAAGTTATTGTTGTATGGGGGGGGAGAGGGTGATGGTGGCAGGAAGTTATTGTTGTATGGGGGGGGAGAGGGTGATGGTGGCAGGAAGTTATTGTTGTATGGGGGGGGAGAGGGTGATGGTGGCAGGAAGTTATTGTTGTATGGGGGGGGAGAGGGTGATGGTGGCAGGAAGTTATTGTTGTATGGGGGGGGAGAGGGTGATGGTGGCAGGAAGTTATTGTTGTATGGGGGGGGAGAGGGTGATGGTGGCAGGAAGTTATTGTTGTATGGGGGGGGAGAGGGTGATGGTGGCAGGAAGTTATTGTTGTATGGGGGGGGAGAGGGTGATGGTGGCAGGAAGTTATTGTTGTATGGGGGGGGAGAGGGTGATGGTGGCAGGAAGTTATTGTTGTATGGGGGGGGAGAGGGTGATGGTGGCAGGAAGTTATTGTTGTATGGGGGGGGAGAGGGTGATGGTGGCAGGAAGTTATTGTTGTATGGGGGGGGAGAGGGTGATGGTGGCAGGAAGTTATTGTTGTATGGGGGGGGAGAGGGTGATGGTGGCAGGAAGTTATTGTTGTATGGGGGGGGAGAGGGTGATGGTGGCAGGAAGTTATTGTTGTATGGGGGGGGAGAGGGTGATGGTGGCAGGAAGTTATTGTTGTATGGGGGGGGAGAGGGTGATGGTGGCAGGAAGTTATTGTTGTATGGGGGGGGAGAGGGTGATGGTGGCAGGAAGTTATTGTTGTATGGGGGGGGAGAGGGTGATGGTGGCAGGAAGTTATTGTTGTATGGGGGGGGAGAGGGTGATGGTGGCAGGAAGTTATTGTTGTATGGGGGGGGAGAGGGTGATGGTGGCAGGAAGTTATTGTTGTATGGGGGGGGAGAGGGTGATGGTGGCAGGAAGTTATTGTTGTATGGGGGGGGAGAGGGTGATGGTGGCAGGAAGTTATTGTTGTATGGGGGGGGAGAGGGTGATGGTGGCAGGAAGTTATTGTTGTATGGGGGGGGAGAGGGTGATGGTGGCAGGAAGTTATTGTTGTATGGGGGGGGAGAGGGTGATGGTGGCAGGAAGTTATTGTTGTATGGGGGGGGAGAGGGTGATGGTGGCAGGAAGTTATTGTTGTATGGGGGGGGAGAGGGTGATGGTGGCAGGAAGTTATTGTTGTATGGGGGGGGAGAGGGTGATGGTGGCAGGAAGTTATTGTTGTATGGGGGGGGAGAGGGTGATGGTGGCAGGAAGTTATTGTTGTATGGGGGGGGAGAGGGTGATGGTGGCAGGAAGTTATTGTTGTATGGGGGGGGAGAGGGTGATGGTGGCAGGAAGTTATTGTTGTATGGGGGGGGAGAGGGTGATGGTGGCAGGAAGTTATTGTTGTATGGGGGGGGAGAGGGTGATGGTGGCAGGAAGTTATTGTTGTATGGGGGGGGAGAGGGTGATGGTGGCAGGAAGTTATTGTTGTATGGGGGGGGAGAGGGTGATGGTGGCAGGAAGTTATTGTTGTATGGGGGGGGAGAGGGTGATGGTGGCAGGGTGTTATTCCTGTATGGGGGGAGAGGGTGATGGTGGCAGGGTGTTGTACATAAGAGGGTGCTGCCATCATCATCACAGACCAGGCTGACTCCTAAGAGCACAGTGTACATATCAACAGGTCAGTGGAGCTTGGAGGCTTCATCCATGAGAGGTTCATCACCGGGATAATGTCCAGGAGAAGAAAGAAATAATAAGTTTAACACATATTTGGTTTTATCAGTGCGTCTTACATCACATGGGGCTCATTCACATGAATGTGTCTATTTAGTGACATGTTGAAATGTGGAATCAAAGCAGACATTGATTCCTGGTATACTTCAACAGTATCCTAAGAGAAGCCCGTTAAAAAAAGGAGTGTCACAGGCAAGTGGACAGGATTGGGATACGTGGGGATCCACCTCTTATAGGCTGGAGCAGGACCAATATGGAATCCTCCATACAACGTTGTAGTTTCTTCTGCATGCACATAGTACTGTACACATACATACTGTGAAATAAGGTTTGTTGAATGACGCAGTAAGTCTTATCAGGACTGAGGCACTTGTGACACTGGCCAGTAGACTTTTGGTGTTTCTCAACGTTATTCAGTTTTGTTCCGCTTTATACCGGGAACCTTGTAATGGGTACTGTACTAACGTCTGCTATTTATATTTCTGGACCAATACTCCGGAAATATGTAGAAATGTCTTCTAAACACTTCTTATACCCAAGTCACTTAATGGCATGCTTAGAATCTTTTTTTTTATGATTTATTTTTTTATACTAACTTTTATAAGCCAGGAATCGAGTCCATACATGTCTGACGTCCCCTCCGGGTGCACATACTGATATAAAAAGTAATATACAGCAGATATACTGTATATGGAGAAACAGATTAGTGAGGTCTAGTCCATGCTTGGATTTCTTTCCAGTATCACGCATACATGCTTGTTTGTAATGGAGTAGAAGAGGAATCCATATCTCGTCAGATTATTAAAGGACACCTGTGAGAGAAATGCTAGCTGCCTGCTTCTCATTCTGACACTTCAATACTTAATTCTCTGACAGCCATCAAGTAGCAGCCCCATCCGTCCTGCCCGACTACCCTTACTATATATCTGGAACTCCACTGACCTTTCTGTGGAACGGTGATGGGCATGGTGGGTGTCCTTGGGTATAGCAGGGGGAGTTTTACAAACATGTGATAGTAAAATGCCAACAAATTGAATGGCATATAATAAATTGGAGCTGCAACTAACGATTATTTTCATAAACTTCAACCCCTCCCGTCAAGCCAAGGTGCTCAGAGTAATCCTTGATTCTGAGCTCTCCTTTCAGCCCCACATGCAATCACTATCCAAATATTGCCGTCTCAACCGCCGTAACATTTCCAAAATTCATCACTTTTGAACAAATGATGCAGCAAAGTTTCTAATTCACTTGTTATCTCTCACCTCGACTACTGTAACTCCCTCCTTGTTAGCCTACCGCTAAGCAGGCTATCCCCCCTTCAGTCTATCATGAATGCTGCTGTCAGACTCATCTACCTTATCAACCGATCAGTGTCGTCCACCCGCCCTCTGCCATTCGGTCCACTGGCTCCCACTTCCCCCCACTTCACCCCACTTCCCCAACGTTCAAAATACTAACAATAACCTACAAAGCCACTTACAACTCCGCCCCAACCTACATCACCATCCTCATCTCAAAATATCACTCAAACCGCCCTCTTCGCTCTTCCAAAGACCTCCTGCTCTCCAGCCTTCTTGTCACATCCTTGCATGCTCGCCTCCAGGATTTTTCCAGAGTGTCTCACATCCTCTGGAACTCCCTATCCCGATCTGTCCGCCTATCTCCTACTCTGTCCACCTTTAGGCAATCCTTAAAAACTCATCCCTTCAGGGAGGCCTATTCTACCTGTATATAAACATTTCATTTCTTCCATTAAATCATCCCAAACAGTTATTATCTTTTGTATCATTTGCCCCTCCTACTAGATTGTAAGCTCTCACGAGCGCCTACCTCCTGTACTGAAAATGTATTGGTAATTGTATTGTTTCCCTCAGTTTTGTAGCGCTCTGCCCATACTGGTGGCGCTATATAAACCCTGTATAATAAAAATCGATTAGTTGGCTGTTTCTTCGATTAATCGTATTAACAAAATTAAATACTGTCCACATTTAAAATAAAATGCAGGAATGCAGTGTTGCAAAAACATTAAGTTTACTTCAGAAAAAAAAACAATTTTTTGAAATTGCACTGCACTGGAACACATGGCATTGCGGAGCTGCGCTTTTCACACTGTGGGGGGACCGCCTTTGTGGTGCCATTGAAATGAATGGCACTGCAACGCACCTCCCGCAGCAAAACTTGTCAGGCCGAAACTGAAAATTACTCCCCCCCCCAGAATTGCTTCAGCCAGGGAATGGCCCCTGCTGGCGGCAAAATTCTGCAGACGGCACCTGAATGTGTGAATACAGCATGTAGTGGGCTGGTACAATAGCCAGCCTGCTATTGGTTATTTCAGATTGAGGTAGAAGGCTGGCTATTGTACCCACCCACTGCTTGCTGTCAATCGGCAAAGGAGGAGGGACCTGAAGTAGAAAGTTCTCCTTCAGGTCTGCTCCTCCTGCTGATTGACAGTGGGCAGGTGCAATAGCCAGCCTGCTATTGCAATTTGAAATAGCCAATAACAGGCTGGCTATTGCGGGGGGTTGCAAAGTCATAGCAGTTTTGGCTGACAGCCAGTCTCTCCTCCCCGCTGGGCACTGGCTTCAGCAATCTGTGTCTGCTTTGATCCCAGCTGCCTCTGCCGATACAGGCAGGGAAGAGCAGCGGGGATCGGAGGGGACACAGACCGCAGCATGTAACGGGCTTGCAGCGGGTTGAGGGGGGTG